CGTCGGCCGGGGGAACGCGCCGCCCGGTTCCCGGTGCCGCTGGATGCAGTTGCGCAGGTATAATCCCCCTCCTTGTGTGGGACGGCTGCCCGGGAGCGGGCTGTGAAGGCGGTTACGGAAATCGCTTGCAGTTCGCCTGTAAATCTCAGCCTTAATTTCGCAACTAAGGCGGCGCTATTTCAGTTCATGCAATACGGCGTTTATCAGTTAATTAAACAACAGAACGGCAACATAGGTGCAATTATAACAGCAGTTGCTTACGTGTATCAGCAAACTCAGAAATAATTGGGCCAAAAGAAAACCGGAGGGCGATCCACGCGTCCTCCAGGAACGCACACCGAACGGCCACAGTGGGAGTACTGAACTGGCTGGGAGACCCTCCTGCACCCAGCCCGCGCGGCTGTTATCTCCGTGCCAGCAGGCCCCTGAACATCTGGTAGCTGCTTCCCAGTTTCCATGGTTTAAGCTGACTCCACCGCAGCGATACTCTTCTTTCTGCTGAGAGAAAGAAATCCCTTACTGTGTTCCTCAAGACACAGTAGCTGTAACTGCTAGGAAATAAATAAAAGAGGTCTCACCCAGCCATTTTTCATTTTCTTCTTTTCAGGATTACACGTTTCGAAAATATAAGACATTGCCTGGACTTCCTGCTTTCAGGGGGCCACACGTAGAGGTTTGTACTCAAAAGCTCAGTAGGCAGGAGACTCTGCCTTGTTCTAGATTAATATCAGTCAGAATTTGTTTCCTGTAAGAAACCCCATGTCAGGAACCTTAATATTTCCTCAATATACTTCCTAATTGAGTGATACTCGAGTGTCATGCTGTTAACTCCTACTGCACTTCTTTCTGTGGAAAACATCCGTTTCTTCTGGTTGTGGACGAATTTTTAATCTCAAGGTGCACTGCCAGTTTGAGATTAGAATCTGACTTTGAAGTTGTAAAGACGTACTGTTCAAATCACATTGAAATGCTTAAGGCTAAAGCAGAGAAGAAATAAAATTGCATTTTTCTGAACCACCTTTTGTACTGTGGTTACCCCAAAGGGCTCTAGAACGTGGCGTCCGGTAAAGGTGCACCTTTAAACGTAGCAGCCGTTCTGTGCACACACGTATCTTTGGGCATACAATTTTCTGGCCAAGGCACTAGAGTTATCCATAACGACTTGATAAAAATATTATGCATGTTTAATGATAATCTGCAGTGCCCTGAGAAATGTTCCAAAAGGGTCACGACTTATAATCAGTACAGAAAGATAAAGTGTGTGCATATAATATATTAAACCTGTCCTTAGGGTGACTCTGTGTAAGAAAATGCAGCCCAGCAGATTCGAGATTAAACTGAATATGTGAATCTTTCCTACATACTCCAGTAAAGCCGTTACACTTTTAAAATGCACAATTTGTTGGTCATTAAGTTATGGATGTGTTTGTGCTAAAGTAGCCTAACAACAAACTATATCTGAGTTAGAACGATAGATCTGTCTAATGCGGGCTGGCACGCAGTTAATTGCTACAATAATCATTCTAGCTTCAGCAGCGCTCTATAACATCAGGACATTGTCATTTAGGACACATAGATTCATTGCTAACCTATAAGCAGAAGGCAATATGCGGACCATATAGGATTTTCCATTCTGCATCTGTCTGAAGTAGATATGATTAAGTGCATTTTTGTTCAGTTATTGATTTATTCACCTGGCTTCCTCAAATGTCAGATATATGTATGTTTTTTGTTCAAGAAAAATGGGGCTGTTTGGAGTATTGATTGCAGCACTGGAGTCTGCAGTACAGCTCAGTAAAAATTTTAAGACGTTGCGCATTCATGCTCTTTCATAAACCTGCACGTCCTTTGGACGTAGATGCAAAATCTACTGCCAGCGTTGTACTATAATGTTTATTATTTTATTTTTAATCTAGAAAAGAGTCTTTTCAGACTGTTTTGAGTTACAAGTGTGCAGTAATCCCTCCTTAAACCTGCTTAGAATTTATAGATTTTATACACAGTACTGTGACAGGATGGGAAATGCTATATTCAAATGTTGTATTCTTTTCTTGTATCCTGCTTCTGTGATCATAGCAGCTTAGTCTTTTAATAAATATATATATGTAGATTCATATATGTTTTTAAATATGCGTGTGCATGGACAGAAAGAGAGAAAAATTCATACATAAACAGTACTTGAGGTGCAATAACTATAGCAGTAGTTACTATTACAAGTTCACATACAAAATATAATTGTATGAGTGCCTATACATATCTATTGCAAGGGCTGTCCCTGGAGAATGTTCTCCTTTTCTGAAAACTTACGGAAGAGTGGCAAAATCTTCCAGATAACGTCTTTCCCAACTGGCAAAATATTTCCTGATAAAAAGAAACAAATATTGGTTCTCTAGGCTCTATGGATCTGTGCAGTAACTGTGATTTTCACAGACTCCAGCCGTTGTAGACTTTATTTTCTCCAGAGGGTGCAGAACCTTGCTATCCAAATCCAGCACACCTGCAGCAAATCCCTCCTGCCTTTGTGCACTTCCACCACTGGGTTCTGCTGGTGTTTCTGCCTTTCCAAAACTCCTTTGCCTTTCTTTGATTTTCTCTTTGTTCTACACTTTCTCTGTTCACTCTGTTCAGACCTTACTCCTGTGGGAACTTCCCCGAATCAGAGTCTTCTTTCTCACCTCTTACTTAACACTATCTGTCTGAATGTCCAAGAAGTGTCGTCTCTTACAGTCATCTGAAACACTCATGCCAGGTGATCCTCATCTGTCAAGTTTTAGATGGGAGGAATATGCCATGGAAGGTATCTTTACTGACTATGCAGAATGCTTGAACAAGTAGATCAGATTTAGACATTTAAAGCTGGGTGATATGAATCCCATCCTACAAGTCCACTCTGTTTCCAGAGAAGACAAAGGCAAACTGAGTCATTTCAGTAGTGCAAGATATGGCCTTGAATTTTTTCTGGCCTAGTAAAAATGGCACCTGAGGTGGTGGGTAACAAACGTCTGCTTTTCTAGCTCAGCAGCTAGCTCAGGACACAAATGACCATTAGTTATTGCTAGCTGAAAGTAGTGCGGTAGTTCCTGAAAAAGCTGAAATGCTTCTAGATCTTGTTTTGTCTTCTCAAAGATAACTTAATTACAAATGCCGCTCACTGACCTGGCCCAGAGACTTTATTACTCTTTCTCTTCTGCAGAGAGAAGACTCCTGGAGCTCAATCTAAGTGCGGGTGGTAGAATGAATTTTAGTGAGGAGACGGTTTAAGGAGTGAACTGACGGTGAACTGGAAGTTCCTTTGTGGAGAACAAAACTTTAGGAACAGACTCTTCAGGCTCCCAGCTGAAAGTTAAATCTAAACATACTCAAACTAAGAATGAAATTAAAAACATGCAAGCAAACAAATAGGGAGAGAGGGTGATATGCAAATCAGTACGACATTATGGCAGTGCTGCTGCTGTCTGAACTGAGACTGGATGTTTTCCGCATGTTCCAGTCCGCCTGAGAACGGAGCCCAGGAATTCTGATGACCTCTATAAACAGGGAGTCAGAGTTAAGTATCGCAGGGCTTTCTTCTGATTTTACAATCTATGGGATAAGTTGTTTGAGCAGAAAGTAGGTCTGCGTTGACAAGGTAAAAGAAGTGGCTTGCACTGTCACCATCCCAGAAGGAAGGACTCTTTTCTTCTGCACTCCAGATAACAGTTTTGCAATCACGACAGTATACTTAGTGTAGAGACTAAAGTAACCTTTAGAAGAATACATGAATTATGAAGGAAAACCAAAGACTGGATTCATCTGCTGATGTAACATGGCATAGCTCCGCTGAAGTCAATGAAATTATATTAATTTAAATGGAGAAATTCTGATCGATCAATGTTTGAAGCTAAAGCTGAACCACACGAAGACAATATTCTTTTTCCCTAGAACTCCTTTTCATAACTATAAGAGAACTCTTGAACAGGAAAGCTCCTTTTTCAGAAGGATAATGAATAATATTCTGAGAGATATTTGAAAGGTATCTGAAAGATAGAAATATGACTTCACTAGAACTTTGGCTGAACTTACCTTAAAAGCATAAAAATGTTATTCAGAAACT